GGGGCTTCTGGCCTGGCCCGGGCTGCGGGCACGCAGCTGCGCTGCCTGGGGTGTGCGGGGGAAGAGACCGTGGACCGTCCCCCCCCGCGGGTTCCGAGGTTTATTTGTGTCCTTTTAATGCGCATCTTAGGGGCAGGAAGAAAGATTAAACCCAGCCTTGCGGAAGTTGATGGGAATTTGCTTTAATGAGGGCAGGATTTCACACAAGGCGAAAGGGCTTAAAAAGGAATATTGTTTCCAAAACCAGCTCCTTCTCTCCCCCTTCCCCCAAGGAAACAACTTGCAGGGATCCTGTGCTGATTCAGAGGTGCGGGGTGAGTCAATGCGTAACACTGTTAGCAGCTGCAGTTTCAAGATCCATGGTTAAGGTAACAGAAATGACACGGGCAGATTTCAACCCTGCCCTCCCCCCCACCCACCCCTGTTCAGGAAAAAATAAGCTAAACTTATTTTTTATGGAGCTCTCAAATAGGTATTAATTTGTCTGTCCTGAAAGATAAAAATCCTTTTATTTTTATTATTTCATTTTTATAATTACAATGATATAATATATTGCAGGGAGGGTTTTTTTGAGAAAAACATGAAAATTACTGTCTTCCCCTGAAATCATATCGCTTACTTTATTAGAAAAAATTTAGTGGGTCATTAAAACTTTTATTTGATCTGTTTTGATGCCTTAAATGTTGAGAAGGAATCTGAGCCTGTATCCAGTGATTTAGCTTTTTGTGTTTTGTAAGACTGAGGGACTGGCAAACATTCTTAAATTTCAGGTGGGGGAGGGTTAAAAGATTTTTTTTTCCTGGAGTAAATAGAGCATTTTCTTGTCTAAATTAGACAATCATATGTTATATGAGTGTCCTTTTAATAGGAATCATTAAATAAATGGAGAGGCCTCATTACAGAAACATTACCATAAATCATCATATTCCCACAGTATAATTTCTGTATCAGAAGTAGCGGGGCCTCTGTTTAACAGACCCCTTAAGCATATGCTTAAATCCATTTTTGCTCACAAAGAGTTTTACCTATGATTGCAGTGATACCATAACTGTGCGTGTCACTGATAGTCATAGGATATTTATGTCTTTGTCATATGTAAAATCTGTAAACTTATGTTGGAAGGCTGTGTTTGCATAGCCATGACATGATTTCTAAGACAAAAGTCTTATGCTGCTGTAGAACAATGCTCCCTCATGATATTTTATATCATTGATTCTGTATCAGAGCTTTTTTGCACTTAAATTATCCCCAAGAACTATTTCTGTAGAGATTGTAAGTTTCAGAATAAAGCATCTCTTCTGTTTTGTTTTTTTTTCCCTAATCTAAAATTGTATCTTTTGCATTTTTTTGCTCTGATCATGACTTTCCCTCTGTGGTTCCCAAAACAAACAGCTGGCTGAAGTAGGATTGCCCTTATTTGCTCAACTGGTTTTGAACAGCAGCTCTCAAAAATGTGGATAGAAAAAGGAAATACCAAACGTGCATTTGATTTGCAATCTTACAATTTTAAGGATTCAATTCTATCGCTTAAAACGTTAGGTGCAGATAAAACAGTTTGTTCTGTTCATGCGATCCATAAATTTTTAAGGCCAGAAGAGACCATTAGGACCAACTGACTTCCCGCACAGAAAAGATCGAAGACCCAATAGTATCTGCATCGAGTCCACACCTCCTGTTCAGGCCAAACTATATGTTTTAGAAAAATAGCCTGTTTTATCTGGACCTTTGTAAAACCACTCAAGCTACTTACTGGCTTTAGCTGATCTACTTGCTTGAGTGCATAATTTTCAACTATCTTGAAACAGTATTGGAGAATGCTTCAAAATAATTATCTGACTCTAAAACCTGTGCTAGGCGGGTGCAGGATTATGGCGGCTGTGGTTGGAGATAAGCGTCCTCAGAGAATCAGTAAGGCTAAACCAGACAATTCCACAGACTCTCAGCTGTGTTGACACAATGGAAACACTTTGCCCATTGTCTGTGAAACGTTTGTTTTTTCAGATATGTTCTGGACACTAGCATCTTTCCAGCTGCCATAATAACCTCCTGTCCTATGTTTTCATGTCTTTTGATTGGATCATTTGGCAGGTTTCCATGGGCAAAAGTAGGGGGAAATGTATCTTTTCCTCAGTGGGTTTATATGGTACTTTCTCAGAAACTTGCTTCTGACCTCCTGTTAGAGTTGGTGTGGACAAATTTTCAGGAATGGTGGACAGCAGTTGTCCCCTCGCTGGGTGAGACTGGTGGAGCAGAGATTTCAGGTAAGAACATTATTCTGGTACAGCTTGCAGGGCTGGTGGTTTTGAAAGACAACTCTTCAAAAGCTAATCCACCAGAAATCAGTCTGCCTTAGGCAGAAATTGCTCCCCTGACCCTGTGCCAGGGAATGATCTCAAAGTTAAGGATGCCTGCTCTCTCGCTGTGACAGCCCTTCCTAGCCCATGAGCTTTCTTGCAGCTCTAAAAAAGTGACGAAGGGTGAAGCAGCAATGCAGCTCCAGAGCAATCACCTGCCATGTGGGATGTGGAGCTCAGCCTCCAGCAGGGCATCAAAAAGCTTAAGATTTCCTCCACCAGCTCATTAAAGCATGTGAGCTTCTGCATTTATTTCAAAAGGTTTGAGTCAGGCATTGCCCCCTTAGCTAACAGCAGCTGCATCATCTGAGGTTTCAGCATGGACAAACGCACAAACACAGGGAAGCACTGGATCCTATTAGCTCTTCTCTAGACAGAATCATTTTTAATTCTGGTGCCAGGGTCTCCTGCCCCAAGACCCCTACTCTGCTGTGAGACTTGAAGCAACTCCCACCCTCCCTGGTGCTCCGTGTGAAGTGTGTCAGAGCTGCCACAGGGTGCCAAGATACATCATGGCCCTACTCAGCTTCACGCTGGATGAACAACGCTGGAGCAAAGCAAATAGGTTTCCTCGGATGACGCTTTCTCCCAGACGTGTAGATGATCCCAGCATGAGGCATTAGGGTTACATGAGACACCTTTTAGTTGTGTCAGCTGCAGTGGGATGAATTTTATGTCAAAGTGAGTTTGCACAACTGGAAATGTAAATTTGTTGGGTTTTTAAGAATATCAGCTGAAAGTATTGCTATTAGATGAGGTATGAAAGAACCGACTTCTCCTCCACCAGAGGATGCTACTCAGGAAAGTTGCTTGCCTGCCCTCTCTGTTTCTCTTTCCCATAAAAGAAAAAGCTGACCCACCCACGAAGTCCTCGATGTCCGTAGACACTGTTGAGAGGTTGGGTAGCGCACTCTTATAGCAAATGCCAAGCTTCTCTGCTCACTCAGATCTGTGTCCTGGCCCTCAGTGCTCGCCTAGCCACCAGAAGGGATGGCACAGCAGAGGAGAAATCTCCAGCGCCAGTGGCTAGTACCTGTATCACACTGCACCACTGCTGTGGTGCCGAGAGCCGACTGTGGCTGGGAGTCTCACATCCAGAACAAGTGTTTTACCATTGAAACTTTGGAGATTTGATCCTTACCCCTTTCTTTTGTGTGATTTTTTCCTCCAAGACCCAGTAGTGGTCTTCACTTCTTCTGAGTACCTTGAGGCATATGTTAGACTGGAGGCTGGCTGTGCATTTTCAAGCCTCAGTCAGACTGAGGATTTCCCAATAAGAGGGGGCAAGGGGGTAATCTATTTTCCAGTTACATTTGGGTGTGATGGTCTGCAAGAGCTTCAGTTGCTACAGCCCTGGCATTCAAGCCCTGAGTGAATTCATCCTTATCTTTATCTGGTGAATATGTTCATACACCGCCCACCTTGGTTTTACCGCCTGCCAGCTCTGAAGCAGAGTTCGTTGGCTTGCACCATAGACTCAAGCTTCATGGATTAATTCCTCCAAGCAACATTACTCATGAACATAGAGATTTGCCAGGGCAGAGCTTTGATGCAGGGCTCTCTAACCATCAGCTGTTTGCAGTTCATCAGGTGGCAGAGCGTGTGGAGGCGCTGGGCCAGTTTGTGATGAAGACCAGGAGGACCCTGAAGGGCCATGGAAATAAAGTTCTCTGTATGGACTGGTGCAAAGACAAGAGAAGAATTGTGAGCTCTTCCCAGGTATGCTGTTAGGCGGATGTTTTTCAAAGCTACTGTTGGGCACTATACAAATCTTTTGGCTGTACTATGTGCCACGCTTTGCAGATGATACCTGTGTATATTGTAAATGTTTTCAAGAGTTCATTGGCAATGTATTTGTTCAGAGAGCACAAATCCAAGCTTCTGATCATTGCTACACCTGTTTTAGCTAACACCCTAAATACTTCTTGTCCAGTCATATACAGATTTTCCCCATATTCCCTAATACAATAGAAAATAGACAGAACTCATCTGAGGCCACTTTTATTTCCTTGTTCTTTACAGATAAAATACTTAGTAACGATTTCAGTTTATGTGTTCGGAGAAAATAATCAGGGGAAGGGAAGAAATGTTGATTCTTCTAGAGATTTCTGTGCGCAGAAATTTCTTCTGCAGTCTGCATGATTGGTGCGGCCTTGAAAGCCTCAAACATGCTGCCAAAATTACTGCATTTACTTGGGCATTTTGAGAAACAGTCCTAACACCTGCTCGAGACCAGTCTCATGAGCTGGAGGAGGTAATGAGGTAATTACTTTCTAGATCCCCTGGTTTGTCCTGAGCCCCGTGTGTGGCAGTGAGTGAGCTTGTTGCATCTCACAGCTGTTCATTGACCTATATGAAATCTGTCAGGGGTCTCACTTGAGGGATAAAAATAGGCAATCTGCATTGCAAGCCACCTTCAGTTACTGTGAGTTTTTACCATTCATGGTGATCTCAGCAGAGAGAATAATTTTAAATAATTAATGTCACTTTTTTTAAAGTGGTTACAATGTCAGTGTGTAGATCAGAACGCCAAACAGGCAAGTTGTAATGCGTTTTTGCATTTTTTACTCTATTTTAAGAACTGTAGTGAGTCCAGGTACAGCAACAATTGTTGCTCAGTAATAAACATTTCGCTTTCATGATATGGGAGGATAACAATATTATGTGCATAAGGCAACGTAGCTGCATGAGTGTAGCTGGCATACACAAAGTGATTGTGTTGCTCTCTGTGGAGTGTTCTTACGATGGCTATTTAGCAGATTGTATCAATGGATAATTGAACGTTAAGTAAGTGTAGTGAGAAGTAAAGGGAAAATCAGGAAAAAACAGGAAAGGGAAGATGAATAAACAGTGCAATGTCCATAAATAGTCCGCATGAGCGCTGCCAGCTCAGCAAGTGATTTGTAATACAGGTCACCTCTTGTATTTGTAAGGCCCCATACTGAGCCACTGACAGGTATCATTTGGGAGAGGGGACCGGCTTTGCAGGTGGTGATTACAGGCTGGGAGAAACACATCATGGTTGAAAGGAGGCAAGTGAGGGCTCACTAGTGGCAGTTTCCTGAGAAGACGGTCCTGTCCATGGCGTGTGCTGCAAGTGAGAGGTGTTCTCATAAACCTGCTAAAAGGGATGGGAAAAAAATAAAAAAATAAATTGGTCTTTTAAGCCGACATCTGTTGTCTCAGTGAGGAGGAGATACGCTTTTCTTCTGGTCAAAGACATAACACAGTACTGAGGAGTGTCTTCTCGGTGCTTCGCTGTGACCATTGTGCTGTTGTAAAAACAGAGACAAAAATTTCATGAAATAACAGACTGGGGGATGGAAATGAGCAGCAGAGTTTTCCCCAAATCTGGGAAGTAGGCTGACAGCCATGTCTCTGGGAGGCCTCAGTTTCTCTCTCTGTTTATGTGCTTTCATTTAGGATGGGAAGGTGATCGTGTGGGATTCCTTCACTACCAACAAGGTAAGTGAAACTTCAGCAAAAGTCAGATTTCTATGCACAGGGCAAATGATGGTGGGATAAGATGGAGAGCTAAAGGGCTCACAGGTGTCACAGGAGGCAGTGGGATGATGGGATAACATGCAAACCTCCACCAGCAGCTCAAACCAGGGGGCCCAGGGCAAACCACCTCCCTTGACCTGTCTCTGAGCAAAGTCCCTGTCAGGGCACTGGGGTTTGTCATGGTCTCCAGTGGGAGACTCTGATCTAGCCTCTTCGCTGACAGGGAGGGCTCCCGGCTGGGGGCAAAGCCCAGCCAGCAAAACAGAGGCCCTCCCTGGGTAACCCCTGTACCAGGTGCCATGTGTGATCACTCGGGAACCTTCAGCAGTGGTGTTCACTGTGAAATGGTGTCGCTGCTCCTCCAAGCCCTGCCAGGGCTGCCTCACGGCACCCTGCTCCACACAGCTGAGGAAAAACCAGCTTGTTTATGACTCACTTTTACACGTACAGCAGTGGGGACCTTTTACAGCACTGAGTAATCCAAATAAAACATGCTCTGTGATCAGTTTGGGGCTTGTGAATAAGGTGGAAAGTGTCAGGGAGGGACTAGCCATCTTCCTGCTGCTCTGCTGGGTTCTGCAGTAAGGGTTGTCCCAGCCTTACACATGAGTTATGGCTGGGGGAAACACCTGTACCTTTCACTGACCCTAAGGATGTCCCACAGAAATACTGAACTTACTACTCTACACTGTTTTCCTTGCACCGATTAGAGAAACAGTGACATCCCAGTTTAAAGAGATGCTGTGTTTCAGGAACATGCAGTGACGATGCCGTGTACCTGGGTGATGGCGTGTGCATATGCCCCATCTGGATGTGCCATTGCTTGTGGGTAAGTTCCCAGTTTCCCCAACTGCTTACACAGAGAAGCTTGATTTGTAGTGGTGTCCTGGTGCCTTCAGATGATGACAGCTAGAAGTTTGTGTGCGTTGATTGTGGGTGGAAGGACTACATTCAGTGCCTCCTGATTCTATTCCCATAATGGCTTGTACACATTATCTTCACTGACTTCAGTGCAATAACATTTGTTGTGCAAGCATGGAAAATAATCCTCTTTCAGCATTTACATCATGGGTTAGGAATTCTGCATGCATGCAACTTCTCTGCTCCAGTTTGGTTGTGTGTGTTGGATATATCTTCTAAGGGAGAGTGGTTTTAACCCTGTTCTTACTTTGCACTCTTTCTTCTACGATGTAGAGAAGGTTAGTCATTAATGATTACCAGCACATGAATAGATCTTGCCAAGATGGAGTGGGGAGAAGTAACCCCATCCTTGATAATCTCCAAGTTTTCTGAGAGCTCGGGTTTGAAAAAACTGGATTTATGCAGGGGAAAAAACAAAGAGATGAGGTGTTGGCAAAACATCTTTTAAAAAGGGACTAGGTGGATCAGACAGACAAAGCAAGCTTGGGACAAGAGAAAGGAACAAAGGGAGACTTTACTGTGCAGCTTGCAAATCTAGAAAGCAGCAGACTGAGACAGACAGGCAGACTCCCTCAATGTGTGTGGAGAGGGAGTCTAGAAACTGTATGTTTTTGACTAAAACTCGAAGAATGGCAAGAAAGCTCTGTCTTCACACTTGTAAGAGAGACAGGGAGGGCACGTATGCATTGTACTACCTAATTCTGTATTTCTGTTGTGCTGTCAGTGAAGTGCTGTGCACATAATACAAGGCACAGAACCAGCACCTGGTGGTGTGCCGGGATCGCAGGGACCAGGGCAGGGCTGATCTACCACGGCTGTAGGAACGGGTCAGACACAAGTCAGACCCTTTAGAAAAGAGTCCCACATCTGGTCTGGGAGACACAGCTTAACTGGTGCAACTGTCCAGGAGGGACACACCAGCTACAGAGGTCAGTGCTTCTGTTGCCTTTTTTCCAAACTCTTCTAAAAGCCCTGTCTTCACACTCACTACTTGCTATAGCACCTCTTCCATAGGAGTTAGGTCAAGTTTATTAAGGTAGATAAATAATGGTGCTTAAATACAGATCCTCGCAATGACGGATGTCAACACAAAAATGGCAGTTTGGCTGTATGTGAAACATTAACCCTGAGGTGACTGCTATGTCACCTCCCAGTTTATACTTTCATGAGGTTTCATTCAGTGCCATTTATAAACTCGACGAGGGTAAAAAATACTGAGGCGCAGCTGTTCAAGTTCTGTAAAGTAGCCAGCCTGGTGAGGCAGCTGGGGCTTCCCTGCACAGGGAGATCCCGGACAGCACAATACCGGGAAGTCGGTACTTGTAAGGGTTTGGCAGCGCAGCACTGACAGGTGGTTTCCTTCTTATCACCACTCGCCTTTTGTCGTTGCAGTTTTAACCAGTTCTCCTCTCTCTGTTATTGCTATTATTACTCTCTTTAGTGGCCTGGACAACAAGTGTTCTGTGTACCCTCTGACATTTGACAAAAATGAAAATATGGCTGCAAAGAAGAAATCGGTTGCAATGCACACAAACTACTTGTCTGCCTGCAGCTTCACTAACTCAGACATGCAGGTAAATGCATTCCCTACCCACTGCTCACCATCCAGCAACACCTAACATGAGCTGCACTCATACGCGGTGCAAGTAACCTTCCTTGCACCTGGGGCACCCAGGGCCACGTCCTGCCCCATGCAGGGGCTGCTGGAAAACCCTCGCTGTGGGCAGTGAAGGTGGTGCAAAAGCTGCTGTAAGGACATGCTTGTCACAGCCCGTGGCCAGGCTGTCATGCCTGCGCCCTGCAAAGGCCTGTCCCTTCTGCAGAGGGAGCTCGCTGGTACCTGTGTGTTCTCTGCTCTCTGGGTCTGTGCTGGCTTGTGCTTTTAGGAGCTCAAACTAATACAAATAGTTAAAAACCCAGCTGAGATAGGACTAGGTTGGGTGTGTGCTATGCCCGCCGGTGGAGACTGTGTTGTTTGCCTGCTTTGTCCTGGACGTCCAGCCAATTTTGCTTTCATTCTTAATATTTTTTGTTTGTACCAAGTGAGATATTTGAGCTTGAGGATGGCCCCACAGAGCCAGCCCTGTTGTCCGTACATGCAGTGGTGTGTTCCCTCAAGGGAAAGGAGTGATGCTATCCCCATCTCGCAGCCGGGGGGGTTGGAGCACAGAGGGCCACAGTGGGAGACGATGGCAAAGCCAGGAACTAAATGCAGATCTTCTGAGACCAGGCCAGCCTTCCTCTGTAGTGAATATCTCAAAGATCTCGTTCTCCGGGAACACGAAAGATGATGAAAGGAGCCAGGATAATCCCCTTGTCCTCTCTGGTTTTTGAATTTAATTGAAGCTCTGCTCAGTGCAGATCTGCAGGAGAATAAGTGGCAGAAGGGAGCATTTTCATTGCTCTCTGTATCAGCAGAGCTGCTGGAAAGGGAATACCTTGTCCCCTTCTTCCAGATATTTGGAGCTCTTCTGAAGGAAATACCAGCTCTCATTGCTTCTATTTCAGGACACGAGATGCCCAAGAGTATGTTGTTGTTTGTCGTTCTATGGTGTCTGTAATGACTCCAAGGTGCTAATTTAAGTCCATTGCCATAGAAACAAGTGGTAGAGGTACCCAGCGCTCAGGCTTGCTTAGCCTTGACCTTACTGTGCAGGAGCCCTGCGTAATTAGAGCAGTCTAATTAAAGTAGAATGTTTTTGATGAGGTAGAAAACCAGTATTCTCTTTCTTGTCCATACCTATATGCATCGTGATTAAATCCTATGAAAGGAAAAATAGTTGTTTATTTTTCACAATTAAAAAAGAAAGAAAAGTTGGGTCTTTTTTTCTCCATATTAAATACAGCAAACTGCATTGATATTGAAGGTAATGTATTACTATTGTTAAATAATACCACAGTGGATTTAGGTGATTTATATTCAGTGATTCAGAGATTTTTCTGAAGACTTCAAAAAGAAATTTTCTTGTGATTGATAGGCTTATAAGTGATCATTTGTAGCACTGCACATTATTATTGAAACAAATACAAGCAAGTGGGTTGGCCAAGCTTCTGTTAGGACACTGTTATGTAGGGGACTCTAAAGAATCCCAGATTTCTTATCTTCTTCCTTTTACATAACAGCCTCAGAATTAAAATTATTTGGTAACTGAGGGTGCACAGTGCAACAAGCACACTGTGCAGGAGCTTTCCCAGCTGTGTGCGGAGCAGCTCTGCTCTCCCGGCTTGCGTCACCGAGGGATGCAGTACCTGTCCTGGAGCAGCCCTAGCGCGTGGTGGAGGTGTCCCCCAGCCCAGTGCCCCCGCAGCAGCCAGTGCTAGGTGCTGTGAATGCTGCTGCTCTGCCTTGGCTGCTCTCTTAAACTACAGCTCGGTTTTCCCGCAGAGGAATGAAAGACAGGGTAGGAGTTTAGGAGTTGGTGTGCCCATGGGCGTCTGGCAGTGCAGTGGAAAGAGAGGAGATCTGGGGGTGGTTAATCATTGATTAAAGCCACTCTCAGGCTGTGTGGGTGCTGAAAGGAGGGGTCCCATCCTTGCTCCTCATCATGTTCCCACCCTGGGCCAAGACAAGCGCTGAGCTGCAGGGCTGGGCAACCTGCGCACCTTGTTCTTGGTGCCCCAAAACAGTCTTGCCAGAGAGAGCCTCCCCCGCCTCAGTACACAAAGAGCCAGGGATCCGTGCTTCCTAAATTAGGTATCTGCAGCTCTGCGGTGTGATAATGCTCCCCACGTGACAATGCTCCATGTGTATTAATAGCAACAGTTAATTGGGATCTCGAGTGTTTTGCATAGGGCAGGCAGCCATGCTCCCAGTGCGGCAGGGCTGAGAAGCAGGATGAGGCCCATGGCGATGGCGGAGGAGGTAGAGGTGAGTGTGGCCCCTCTGCCCTCGCCGTGCTCCCAGCCCTGGTGCGTGTGCTCCTGGCGAGCAGGGGCTGTGTCCCTGCTGTCCCCTAATGTCTGCAAGTGCTGCGTCTTGCCACCAGGCGCCAGGCGAGGATCCCCATCCAGTGCTGCCAGAGCCCCTCGTGCAGCAAGCCGGACTCTAATAGCAAAGATTGTTAATTCTCTTCTGGTTTTGGATTTTTGGAGGGGTTTTTTTGTTTGGTTTTGTTTTCAATAGCAATACCCTGAAGTTGAGTCCGTAACATTTCTCTTTAAGCATTAGCTGGAGCTCTGGGTTGCCAACAGACCCTTCCCTTACACCTTTAGCTACTCCTATTCCCCTCGTATCTTCCTTACACACTGTTACAAGAGCAAATTCTCAGAGCTGAAAGTCTTCATTCCTCAGCCAAGTACAAATATTCCTCAGAACAGAGAAGTGCATTGATCTAGGCTCAAAAGCTGGCCAGAAAGACAAGTCAGGACTTTCTTCTGCTATTATCATCTCGGAGTATTAGCGTCTCTCTACTGCAGGATTCGGAACAGTCTGTTCTGCAGCTTTGCAGACCTCTGTTTATGGGAGGAGATTTTGGAGCATCTGTCAAACATGTTCAGTATTTGACCTTTATGCAACTCTGTGAATGGTTTCATGATTGTGGGATCATTTTCTTCTTGAAGGGTATTTTCTTTTTAACTTCTAACTACCCACTGGGATCCCTTGAGTTTCCTCACCGACCATGAGAAAAACCTGTGTACAAGACTGAGAGCCCTCCTAAGTTCACCCTTGCCTCCTTCCACACCAGTGCACAGGGACCCTTTCAACCTACAGAATTTGTGATTGCATAACAGCTTCGGGTGCCAAGGGGAAATTTTGAACAATTGAGCATCATCAGGATTTAGCCACAATAACAAGCGCTGATCACATGTGCTTTCTACAAGCACTGTAGCAGATGAGGGAAGCTGTGAGCTATGTTCGGTCAGTGTATGTTCAAGCCCTTTCACACACAAATGGTTTTGGACAAGTGAGAGGTGATGGACTTATCAAACAACTGTCTAGACAGGCTTACTTCCCTTTCAGAAAATCCATGTCTTAAGCCCAATTAATTGGGTTTAACCTGGCTATTTCAAGCAGAAAAAAAAATTTAGAGAGTTAAACAGGTATACTTAACTCCAACAGTTCTTCTCTTTACCCGGGTTGAATTTCAGCAGCCTAAATATGGATAGGGTTAAATACGGGGGCAGACAGGAATACCAGTCTGGTTCTTCCTCCTTTTTGGAGGGTATGGAAATGCCAGCAGATCCTTACTGCCATCAGTTCTCCGAACCAACCTGCACAAAACTGACCATTATTGAAACTCTGTGTAGGTATAGCTGTGTCAATACAGTTCTCCTTTCCACTCTAACTTCTTTCCTTAAAAATAAAAAAACATAAACTGTGCTTAGATTCACATTGGTTTTATGGCTTTGATTTATTGCATAATATTTCATTGAATTAAAGCTGTATGTATAGGATGTCAGTTGTTTCTTTGTGAACTTGAAGATCATCTGCTGATCTTTGTATTGTGACTCTTCTTGCCACATGCTATAGATCCTGACAGCAAGTGGAGATGGAACTTGTGCTCTGTGGGATGTTGAGAGTGGGCAGCTTCTACAGAGTTTCCATGGTCACGGAGCTGATGTCCTGTGCCTAGACCTGGCCCCTTCTGAAACGGGAAATACATTTGTCTCTGGGGTAAGCAGGAGCTTCCTATCATAATATAAAATTAAGGAACGTGGTAGGGAAAAGGCAGCAAAGCAGGAGGCTCATGATCTTATTGAGAGAGTGCTGGAGTATGTTTTGGAAGCCCCAGTGCAATCCACTCATTGCAAGCACATTTTCCAAGCTGGAGCAAATTAAACCCCTGACTGTGGGGTCAAACCCACCCAGCCAGTCTGACTGCAGTTCTGCTTACTTAGCAAATTCCACCCAACACCAAAGCAGTCCAGCCTGAGATCAAAACAACGCCTCTCCCGGGAAGGGAAAGGCTCAGAGTTAGAGCAGCGGAGGTGTGAGCCCCTGTGGATAGGAGCCCGGCACAGCAGACAACTGCCCACATTTGGCTCCTTTCTTGTGCCCAGCTCTCCGGAGCCAGACGGGGTGTGCCAGGCAGTTGCTCAGGGCATCGAAGTGGGGCTGCAAATAACGTGCGTGCCACTATGTCCCTCAACCTCTCCCCAGAAGCGAAGGGGTAGCTTGGACGCTGGCTAAACCCTCGTACAAGTTGGAGCAGGGAGATGAGGTGTGGCCACATCTTCAGCTGTTGCTGAGTCCCCTGTGCCTTCCAGCGGTACCAGAGGCATTTAAAGCCCCTTCGTCGGTCGAACGCTGCCCGCTCCCTGTCCTGGCCCAGAGGAACACACAGACCTTGCTGGGGCTGCAGGACTGGTCAGGGAAAGTACCCAGGGCATCTTCCAAATCTTGTCCTGCTGCTGAGGGATTGCTGTTCCCGGGCAGCTGAGCCATTGGCATGGAGCCTGGCAGTGAAGCAGGCAAGGCATAAAGGTGAGTGGGATGGGGCTCAGCTGCTTTTTGAGGTGGTCCTGGTCTTTCCCACATCAGAAATTGAGTGTGCAGGTGAGAGCTGGCAGGAGCTGAGAGATGACCTCTCTTACTGGAGGCAGGTTGCTACCAGTAACTTTGCTGAAGGTACCTGGTTTCTGAGCCCCACCAGCGCTGGCCCAGGGCTGTCCTGTGCCTGATGATGGAAATGGCCCTTGTGCCAGAGGGTTCCGACCATGGATTAGGGGATTCCACTTGTTGTGCTCGGAGTCATGGTCCCATCCCTACATAATAAAACTGGACCTCTTCTGTTACGGCTCTTGTAACAAATTTGGCTGGCCCATCAGGAGCAGAGCCCAGCACACTGGCCCAGTTTGCCTGCTGCTAGCACAGCTGCTCCGAAGCGTGACTGAAAGCTAATTCCATCTGAGTGCATTACTCCTCCCGGGCTTTCCTGTCACTGAGCTTGCTTCCCAGAAAGGATAGATTCATTCTCCCTGGGAACAGCTCAGCTTATTATAGGGCAAAGAATTGCAAGCAGCTATGGTACCACTAAGAGAATATGTCATACTTGTGTCGATGTAGCAGCTTGGGCATGTCCATGCTTACAGGGACTCGCTTAATTCATCACATGCAAAATACCACTTCAGTGAAGATCTGTCTTATATTGTGTCAACACAGGTATGGCCAAAACAGTGCAACCTGAAGGTATGGTAGCATAGAGACACTCCCTGTATATTGTGCCTATGTCATACAGTAACCTTGAGCTGGAATAAGCAATGTCAATACATCAGCATGTAGGCTGGGTGCTGTTACATTTAACGACTTAACTGAAAATCCCAGCCCTCCTGGGTGAGCTCAGGGCTGCATCCCAGGCTGTTGTGCTCAGTGCCCTCTGAGCGCTGCTCCTCGGGGCAAGTTGGATAGCACTCAGGGGGCCCATCTCTCCGCAGGTGGTTGCTGGTTTCTCCTTCAAAACCTTAGGAATCAAAGCACCAGCTTGTCAGATTGGTCTTGTCCCCAAACTCCCAGAGAGGTCAGTAAGAACAGTGCGCATGGAAGCAATACGAAGGGCTGGGCTTGGGCTGTGGCGGGGCTTGAGAGGGAAATATCCAAAATGTTCTCTATCCTGTTTGGTTTCCCCTGTGGAAAAACCACAAGTTGGTACAAAGGAACATTGTCTCTCTTAAATAATGACATTGTTAGTTAAAAACCTGGGATTTCATTTTAACAAGAGAATTCAAAAAAAAGAGAGAAAGATGTGAACTGTGAAGAGACTGTTTAATTAGCAATCATATTTGCTTAAAAATAAATAACACGTGTGACACGGTTTGCTGGGCAGGATGTGCTAGCTCGGCAGAAGCAGCAGCCACCTGGCCTGCCCTGTGCTTCCCATGCAGCCTCAGAGAGGCTGAGCCTACCTACGGCCTGCCCCTCAGCAGGGTCATATTTATTAAAATCTCCTGTCGCTCTTAAAGAAAAGTCCGTGTTCTTTTTCCTGTCACCGCAATTGTGACAGCAGCGAGACATCGCAGCTGAGAGCATGGCCCTACAGGTGTGAGATGGTTCCTGCCCCGAGGACATTGCAGACTACATGGGCTGAGCCCCTTGCCCAAAGCATTCAGGATGCTGAGCACCTTGCAGCAAGCACCGAGTGTTAAAAGATCTTTTCAAAGCACAGCTTGGAAGGGCAGGTTAGAGCTTGACAATGAGATGAAATGCTGTTGTGCTTCTTTTCTCATCCCAACCACGCCATTGAGCACGTGGGTGCAGAGCCACAGCAGGGGTTAACTCTGGTAGGAGGCTGGGCAAGAGACCCTCCGGATGCACTTATTTCATTTTCTATTTCAGTGTATGAAAAGAATTAGTTATAAAACTTTAAATGCTGGGTATTAATTTTTTATATTGGGCATGTTAAGTGGTAAGGGAATGAGTCAGTTACGCAGCTCTGTGGCATGGTGGGACTGCAGGCACAGATACAGCAGCAGCACAAGGAGGGCAGGGCTGTGAGTGCTGGTTAGTATGGGACTGCCTCCGCATACACCCCAGGCCTGTCTGCACCCCACTGTGCTGCAGCGCTATGCCCGTGCTGGTCTGCAGCACCGCTGAGGCTCCAGCCTTCGTGGTGTACTCTGCTCCTAACTGCAGCTGCACCAGGCTTGGGGGTACCAGTACAGCCAGTTCTGGGGCTGCTTTGCTGGTTAAATCCCCTCAGAGCTGTGATGTTCAGAGCCTTTGAATGTAGCTGGGCTTGATGAAGTGTATCAGGCATGTGAGGGGTGATGTCACCATTTGCACAACTGTAGTGAATTTTTTTGTCTTATTAGGGATGTGACAAGAAAGCCATGGTTTGGGATATGCGGTCTGGTCAGTGCATCCAGTCATTTGAAACCCACGATTCAGATATCAACAGTGTCAGGTCAGTATGTTTCTGGGAGAGGACACATTTGCGACGTTGAGCAATGCACTGGTTCTATTTTTGAAGTCTGACCTCATTCAAGTAATGTAATGTGTTCTGGTCTTTTTTTACTCATGCACAGATATTACCCAAGTGGAGATGCTTTTGCCTCTGGTTCAGACGATGCCACGGTATGTTAATTCAGCAACCTAATTTAGGGAAGTTTTGTTACTTCCCAAGTCAGATTTTCCTAAAAGACTAGGTCACATCCACAGAGGATTTTAAGTGACTAAACTGGGCCTGTGACACCAAAGTTGCAGAAATAATAATGCTATAATAGAATATATATTAAATTCTATATATAATGCTATAGGGAAAACCTAGTAACGCTTTGTAGGTCACCTCTGCAAACTTTTCTACATGAGGTACTGTCCAAATATTCATTTCAGATTTTCTATGTTTTGAAGTTTCATGATCAAAATTAGTTGTCTTACTGGAAGGGATTTGGCTTCATATAGTTGTTGGTCACATGGGGGGAACCAGATGAAATGCTGCAGCTTGTGTCAGAAGGAGCAGTACAGCGCAAGGGTATGAAGGGAGCCTGCGCATGAGCATGCACGTCCCGGCAAGCAGAGGGGCCGTGGGCTCAGCACGGAGCTGGGCAGACCCTGGTCAGCTGGCCTCCACAGCCCCGTGCATCCTGAGAGCGCAGCCCCAGGGTGGCCTTGGCCATGTACATCTCCTCCCTGTCAGCCTGACTCACTGCCAAGCTCTTCACCGCGATGAGTCACCGCATCCAGGTCATCCTAGATGATACAATAGCTCTTACTGGATCTTACTTATCTATGAGCAAGCTGCTAGGAGAGGCACAGTATGTATTGATGGGTAATTTTGGTCAGCATATTGTATGCAAAATGCCACTTGCCTCCTGGTGCCTTTGGGCCCCTGAGTGATGCACATGGCTGGTGGCTCTCGCTGCAGCTGGCGGGTCCCCATGGGGGAACAGGCTCTGCCTGTACCTGCAGGGACTGAGCTGGCAGTTAAGTGTAACTTGAGAGCAGACATTTGGGAGGCACCTGGCACCTTGTTTCTCCTGTTTATTCAAACATCACACCTAGTTGCATGAAGGTGGAGACTCTTTCTAAAGTACTCTGCCCTCAGAGCATGTTTTGAGTCTGCTCCAATGCTAAATAAACTCAATAGAAACATTCCCTTAGTCTTCACTGGATGTGGAGACCTTCTAAGGCTCTTCTGGAGAGAGTGTACACTGCTTTTAGGTCCTAAAGGCTGTGATTATAAATTAATACCTCAAACTCTATGGTGAGCCCAGTGCCGCTCCGCACATTCAGATGCAGTACTGTGAGCACTTGAGATGCTGAGGGAGTGAGATGGAGAAATTGTCCATCATTGAATTCCAATGAGAGCACTCTCTTTTTATGCCCAGTACCACAGGCTTTGGGCTCCTGTGCTTATTAATTTATTTGATGGGGTTTTTCTCTCTTAACTATTTCTGACACCCCCAACTTGAGCAGGAGAATGGGAAATTCCATCTCTGTACTTTTAACAGAGGTTTTGGCAGTTTCCATCTACTTCATTCTTTAAATGGAGAAGTTGGTGTTTTCAGCGTTACGGACTGATACGCTGACTGGTATCCTTGACCTGATTTATATACTTAGGGATTTCGAGGAACAGATAATCCTGACTGTCTGGAGGGCGACCATAAAAGCGTGCTCACGTGGCAGTGCTGTCACCTGTGGTGACCCCGACTCCCTATCAGGACAGTCTGATGGAATTCATCAGCGTGGAGCACTGGGAGACCTGTACTTCACATACCTGGCAGCTCCCCACCGCCCTGCGAATGAAACAGCCTCTCCGTTATGTGCAGGCTTGGGTATCAGCCATTTTTCATTAGTAAAGTCTTAATATTAGCCAACCCATCTGGCCAGTGTTTGCTTAAACTTAACTTGTTGAGGAAGGTTTTCCGTTAAAATAGTTTCAAAAGTGCATTTTGATTTCAGGGCTAACAGACTGGCTTTCTGCATGGCAATGAAGTCTGGTCTGTCTATACGTTATTTCCATGTTAAATAAGCCTAAGTATGCTGGCAAATGATAAAAATAGGAAGTGCAGGTTGTAGAGGTGGTTGGGGATTTTCCATGAGAAATGAAAGCCGAAGATCTGTATAAAAATGTATTATTTCACTTGAATTATTTTCACGTAGGTTTTTCAGACAGAGGCACCTCACGGAAGGGCAGGGGCTGTTTGCTATCCTGTCTTACTCAGAGCAAGGACTACCATCTAGGCTTCCCCGTGCCAAGGGACTGTCTGAGCACTGTGCCATGTGGTCCATGTTCTCAAAGATGACTACAGATTTAATCCTCTGTCTCCCAGACTCCAGCTGTGGCTAAACTGTTGTCTTTAGAGGCTCCCTCCCCATGCACCTCCCCAGCAGCAGGATGCCCTAATACGTAGGAAACCACAGTGGGGAAGCAAGAGGGCGGGGGGACTTTCAGTGGGTAGCCATGGTCCAAAACCTACCACTCATCTCTTTATAGCAAGACAGGCAGGAGGCTTAGAGAAGTGGTCTGGAAAATCAGGTTCTTCACTCAATTTACACAAAACAGCCTTGTGTTGCTTAGATCCCTGTTAGACTCCAGATGAGTCCCTTACAGCGGGCAGAAATAGCAGAAGGAAAAAAGCCAAGCGGCCGCTTCCCGTGATGCCTGTTAGGCTGCGGTCCTTCCCAATCCCATTTTTTCAATGAAATGTAGTAACCGTTGACTCCAGCCTTTACTGAGCCACGTGTGTTGGTTTTGTTTTAATCCTAGTGTCGTTTATATGACCTTCGTGCAGACAGAGAAGTAGCAATTTATTCTAAAGAGAGCATCATTTTTGGAGCATCCAGTGTGGACTTCTCTCTCAGCGGTGAGACCTGAATTTTGGAGGTTGTCTTAGTGTTGGGATTTGAGGGAAACTGTAAAATTTTGCCAGTTTAATTTGATAAAGCATTTGTTATCAAAAGTTATTAAAAGTAATACTACGTACCAAAAGAAACATTTAATGCATGGAAGCCTTTTTTTGCCTCTGTAAAAATAATTACTCTTTAAATAACCTAGCTGGCTATTGCTTCGTTGTAGCAATGAAGAGTATTTTCCTGGCCCTACTGAAGGCAGGAAATATTTTGTCTTTGACTACAGCTGGGCTAGAATTTCACAATAATGATTAAAAGCATTTCAAAGGAAACACGAAATGTAACTAGACTATTAAGTGCACTTACATAAATAGTTTATAAAAGGATAATAAATGATTAATAGATAGTAAAAGTATGTTAGAGGAGCATGAAGACAGAGACATTACTATTTTTCACTACAGGTCCGGAGACATGAGCTCGAGTCTTCTCTCTCCTGGCCCAGCACAAATGCAGAGCTCCTTGTGTCACCCTGCGTGGGGATGAGTGGGTGGTGAACTGCCCTCTGCCCAGGACAGAGGCAAACGTCTCTGTCATGGTCACAAGCACCACAGCTTGTCCTGTTGGGGATAATGAATCACTTACCAAATTGTCTACTAATCATTCAACCACTTGTATTCGACTTCTTGAGTAAAGTCTGAGCAAAATATTATTACCCTGCATTAGCTGTTGAAGTGCTCTTCAGTCTGTCATGGAGTCATCCCCCATCTCTAATGACTGAATGGATTCTATATCATTTAACTCAATTTTAACTATATTTTTAACTAACAAATTTTAAGTGGTTCAGCATTTAGTATGGATAGCTCAGCAGTGGAGCAGGGGTGTCTAACAGGATGTCGTGGTTTAACCTCAGTCGGCAACTGAGCACCACGCAGCCGCTCGCTCACTCCCCCCCACCCGGTGGGATGGGGGAGAGAATTGGAAGAGCACAAGTGAGAAAAACTCGTGGGTTGAGATAAAAACAGTTTAATAATTGAAATAAAATGATAATAATAATAATATGATAATAATAATAATACACAAAGCAAGCGATGCACAGTACAATTGCTCACCACCC